AAAGCATCTTATGACAACAGCTATTAAGGCATGGAGGTCTGGCAAATCATCTGACTCTGGTGAAATCACAGCTCTTTAGAAGTACCAAGGCTAGAAAGAAGGCCAGAACAGGTCATGTGATGGATCCTTGCAGACCATCTCAGTGGTCATCAGACCATGTACAGAGTTATTGCATTAAAGGAAAACATGGGCCTGAGAGAGGAGAGAACAAAGGCATGGCTCCTATCTGGTAGGTGGTAGGATGATTTTTATGAGGCAGCGGTCATCGTATGTTCCGCTCTCTTGTGACAAAATGCTGCCTGGATGATCCTGATAATAAAACTGTTCATGTTCTCATGGCATTTTTAACTTTTCAAAATGCCTTCACATCCATTATCTCATTCAATCCTCAGAACAACCCTAAGAGAAAGATATGATGATTATTTGATCTTCTTTTAATGGGTAAGGAAACTGAGACTGATGATTCTTGGGCTACTTTGGATCATCAGTTCTCATCAGTTATTTCTTTTAGAGCATCCTTTTTTTCCTGTGGTCAGGAAAAACACTCATTTAGTTTGTAAGCATGTGTGTGTGTGTCTGAAGATGCCCTTGGAGGGAATGTTTGGAAGGGAAAGGAGGACAGTGCCAACTGTCTTACTTCCCTTCTGTCTCCTCCTTTCCCTACTAGTTACCTTGGGCTCACTTACACATGTAAAATATATGCTAATGATCAGGAGTAGGGAGTTGGCAGAGGAGGATTTTGGAGGCTACTAACAGCTGTTGCTGGCAGAGGAAACAGGCTACTTTAACGTATCGTCATATGAAGGGAGCAGAGTTTTAAGACACTGATGAATGATTTTTTTTCCCTTTTAATCAAAATATGTAGGAAAGCTTTCAGAAGTTTCATAAAAATGAATAGTTAATCTGTTTCCAGGGAAATTATTTTGTTCTCAAGTATTTCAAGAAAATTTATGTTCAGAAAAATCAAGAAAAATTGGTAAGTTTTCTTAGATGGCAATGTAGTCAAAAAGTGCTAGCACAAAACTACTAGTAATGACCTATTTTTAAAAGATTCATTATTTTTCTATACTTTAGTAATTCTGTGAACGTATTTATTAGAGATATATATTTTGAAGACATAACAAAAAACTTAAAGTTTAAAAGCCATTCCTGTCCAAATTCATCCTAAATAAACCTTTTATATTTGTGGAGCAATCTTCTAGTCCCTTCTATTAAGAAGGTATAGACAATGTGGTTTACCAAAGTTTTCACTTCAGGAAGAAAATTACTAACTCAATAAAGGAGGATAGCAAAGAAATAGTGTTGAAAAAAAGAAAAAAGAGAAGAAAGGAAAAAAGGAGGAAAGAAGGAATAAAGGAGAAGGAAGGAAACAGAAGGAAGTAGGAGAGAGAAGGAAGGAGAAAGATGGAACAGGAAGAAAGCAAGGAAGAAAGGTTTGCCATACACATTAGGAAGAGAAGGTAAGGAAGGAAAGAACAAGATAGAAGAAGAATGAAAGAAGAGAGAGAAGGAAGGAAGAGGTGGAAAGGAGAAGGCAAGAAAAAATAATATTTAATACCTATATAGCTCTAAGGTTTGCAAAGCACTTTTTAGAAGGAAGGGGAAAGAAGGAGGAAAAGAAGCAGGGAGAGGGAGAAAAGAAGGAGGAAAGCATGAAAGGAAGAAAAAAGGAAAGAAGAGGAAGGAACCACCATGCCTACAGGCCTTGGAGTCTGAGCAATTCCCCATGAAGTGGCTCTTGTACAAGGCTTGCTGCAGAGACACTGGCTCAAAAGGTTAATGATTGCAGTAATCACTGTTTCAGATGGGATGAAAGGAAGCCAGACTCCAAACTGAGAGAGGCCCTACTGTGATGGCGATAGAGTGACAACACAGCAGCAGTCTAGGAAAATTGGGAAGTTTGGCTCTCTGAGTAAAATCTTTCCCTAGTAGACATTTTCAATTTTATATCTAGAAAAGGTAAAATGTTTTTTTTTTAAACTTAACTTACTATAAGATCCTGAAATTCAATTGAAGATTCTAAATTTCAAATGAATAAAATATCAGTTTGCCTCCCTAATTATCCTTCTGTTCATGTTTAGCTTTTGCCAAGACTTGGTATTTTATGTATTTTTGTCTTTCCCACTCCTGCTGCTTTGTGCTTTTCTACTGCTGGAGGTTGAGGAAGTTGTGGGTCTTCAAGTGTTCTAAGTAGTTCTGTCTGAGGCAAGCAGCATTTCTTGTAATAGGAATAACCTAAACCACTCCAAGCTGGCTTTCTTTAAAATGCATCTCTTTGTCTCTTTTACTGTATCCGATACTTCTTCCACCAAAATGGGTCTGTGTAGCTCATGTTTATATAGCTGTTTGCAGTTAAAAACAAACACATTCTCTTCTCTATCCTTTGGGATTGCAGCCATTTTAAAGATGACAAAACTAAGCCTCAGAGAGAGGAGGTGACTTGTCCACAGTCACACATCAAAGAAGTGGTAGAACTAAGCCTCAAACCCAATTCTTTTGGTGCCACAGCTACTGTTCTTCCCATTACACCATTGCTGCCTTTCCAAATACATACTATTGTGTGACAGCATGGAAAGGGTATATCTGACTTAAAGTCAGAAGATCTGGGTTCAGTTTCCAAGACTTTCACTGATCATGTTCTTTACCCTCTCATTGACTTAGTTTTTTCATCTGATAATCAGTCAATCAACAATCATTCAATAAGCATTTATTAAGCCCCTTCAATTTCTAGGCACTATGGTAAGTGCTGAAGACGACAAGAAAGGTAAAAGACAGTCCTTGGTCTCAAGGAGTTCACAGTCCAGGGTTGGTAGTCAGTGTCAGAGGAGAGAAAGGGGTATATATGAGAGATGTTGTGAAGGGAGAAACAATGGGCTTTTGCAATGATTGGGTAGGGGCTGGTGGTGAGAAAGTGATGACACCTGGGTTGTGAGCCTGAGGGATTGGGAGGATAGTGGTAAGTAATAGGAAAGTTGGGAAGAGACAAAGGTTTAGAGGAGGGGAGAAGATAATGAATTCATGTTTAGACATGAGTTTACTATATCTATGGGCTACTCAGTTCAAAATGTCCAATAGGCAGTTGGAGATGTGAGACTAGAAGTCAAGAGAAATGTTAGGGCTGCACAAAGAATCATCTGCATAGAGATAATAGTTTGAAACGGGGGAGCTGATGAGAGGACAAAGTGAAATAGTATAAATTGAAGGAGAAGAGATTGAGAGTATTGAACTATATCACAGACAGCCAAAATCTCTTCTAGTTGAAGGAATTCTCTATGATGACAGAGTCCTTTGTGAATACATGTGTTTTTATATATACATACATACATATACATATATATGTACGTGTATATATGTGTGTGTATGTGAATATGTGTATATATATATACATATATATATACATATATACATATATACATATATATATACATATATATACATATATATACGTATATATACATATATATATACATATATATACATATATATATATATATATATATATGTATGTACGAGGTACATAAACTTCAATGGATCTGTGACCTCATCAATGTGAGGAGTCTTTCCATGTAGACCTATCTGTGCTGGCCTATTCTGTTTGAAGGCAGCTAGGTGGTGTACTGGATAGAGTTCCAAGCCTGGAGTCGGGAATACCTGAGCTGAAATCCAGCCTCAGACACTTACCAGCTGTGTGACCCTAAGTCACTTAACCTTGTTTGCCTCAGTTTCCTCATCTGTAAAATGAGCTGAAGAAATGGCAAACCACTCCAATATCTTTGCCAAGAAAACCCCAAATGGAGTCACAAAGAGTCAGATACAACTGAAACAACTCAACAACAACAAAAAGAAAAAACACGTGTGAATCTAATAATAATACCTAATATGTTGCAATTTAAAGTTTGCCAAATGCTTAAATGTTATCTCATTTTATCTGCACAACTTTTTATTTTACAGATGAGGAAATTGTGCCTAAAAGAAATTAAGTGTCATATAGCTAGTAAATGTCTGAGGTAGGATTGAATTAAAGTCATCTTCCTTTTGAATCCAGTGTTCTATCTACATTGCCCCACTTATCTGCCTTTAACTCATAATTTCCCATAAATCTGCCATAAGGAGTTCACCCCACATTCTGGGGAGTCTTCATCTTATTTTCCTTATCAGGATATTGCAGGTATACCAATGGAATGTGTGTATATATATATATATATACACGTATTTCTCTATTTAGTAAGATAATGCTACTGACCCAACATCAGTTAAACCTCTGGTCTGGGCTTTCTCAGAGTAACAGAGATGATTTCGTCTTTCAAAATAGATTGTAAACCTTCCGAGAGCAGTGGACATCTCCTAGCATAGATTTTGGCAGGTAACAGATTGTGTGGTAATCCAAAAAAACTCTTTGCATTTTTGGGCCTAGCCTCCCTTGCAGACAAGTACTTCTGCTGAGTCCCTTTGAACAGAAAATGCCTGGTAATACAAAGCCACATAGAACATAATCAATTCCATGGGGAATTCTGCCTCTGAGCTCAGTGGCATTAACACTATGGTCTAATGAACCAAAAAAAATCTCTATGTCTGCACGCATATTTTGTATCAACCCTTTCTAAAGTTACAAAACATACTCTTCAATCCTTTTCCCCCCTAAAGACTTCATCCTTCGGGCCCAGACTAGGGCTGCCAAATAATCACCAATAATGAGCTAGATATGATGACGACACTTGAGTTGATCAAAATAGCCCCCAGAAAAATTAAATAGGAGTATCATGAGCACAGATATTGAGCCACTGGACAATGTTTAATGATAACGATCACCACAGAGTGAAATTCAACTGCACAATGGACAATGTCCCTACTTGGCAAGAGAGCATCTCATTCTATCACATCAGTCTGTCCTCCAATTTGATATGCTTCACTTTCAATTTTTTGTTTCTCATTTCTGACTTCACACTTCTTAAGGATTTTCCCTAGATTTGCAAGATCAGGGTCAGAATCAAAGTACTCACATTCTTGAATCCTCGGTAGAGGATCTGAAGTTCCTTCTTGGTGAATTTGCTCTGGGCTTCCAGCAGTTCAAGAGCTTCTGGCCGATGCCGCACAGTGGCCATTTCCATTTCATCTTCGACACTGTCTGTGGAAGGAAACCAGAAGGGAGTTACCAAAAAAAATTCAGTGGATGTAAATGCTCATCTCATGATCAGAACTGAGATCAAACTTGAAACTGAGTGAAACTCTTTGAACACATCAACTTCTCAAGCAAGCAAACAGTCTTTCACTGGCAAGAAATTTATTTCTCCATTTTTCAGAACTGGAGTGTCTAAAACAGGCCCAATTTTACTTAGTATTTCCTTTATTTGTTCTAGAAGCTGAAACACCATGTGGCACAGGGGATAGAAGGCTGATTTCAGAGTCAGGAAGATGTCAAACAACCACAGGCCTGGTTAAAGTCCTGTTTCTGACATGTACAATCCACGTAATCTCTCAAAGTCCTAGGCAGCTAAGATTTTAAGTTGCAGACCCATTTCCATGCTGACATTTAGACACTTAGCCATTAATGTTAATTCTCAGCTTTCGCACTTAATGGAAACAAATGCATCTAATGATAGAATTTTAGAACTGGAAAGGGTTTTAAAATATTATTTTACAGAGAAGGAAACTGATGCCTAGGGAATTTAAAGACTTTCCTGAAGTCTAAGACTAGAATTCAGGTCTCCTAAGTCAGACAAATGATCTGTTTTTACTACTCCGTGTCCCTTCAAACTGTCTATTTTGTAGTTCTAAGAGTTTACAAAAGGAAGCAACAACAAAAATGCTGAAGAAAAACCCTTTCTCATGCTGAAGTCTGTTTCTCCATTGAATGAGAATGGGGGAAACATTAAAGAAAAGATAAAAATTCATCTTAAGAAAATATTTGTCAGAGAGAAGGATAGAGGTAAGAAGAGCCAGCAAGGGAATGACAGAGAGATGGTGGGATATGAGAGAGAAAATGAAAGGATATAAAGGTCAAGAATGGAATTTTAGATGGAGGGTGATGATGGGAAAGAAGAAAGCTAGGGATTAGGTGACAGGCTGGAGCAAAGAATTGGCTAGAAAAGCCAATCTAGGGCCCAGCTCAGGTGGCTGAGGAGCTTTACAATCTCAACATGTTTTCTTCTCTCTTTTCTCTGCTCAGCTTAACTTCCCAATGGCTGAACATTCTAGAAGACATGTTTTCTATGACACAGAATAAAGGCAAGATGGCAGCTTATATTTCTTCACAATTGTATTGCTCAAAAGTTAATGAGATGCAGAGAGAAGAGCACTTAGAATGGGAAGAACTGGGTTCAAATGCCAATCACTATACATGTGATCTTGGGCAAATTATTTGCTTCTTTGGGCCTCGGTTTACTCACGTTTAAAATAAGGTGATTAGACTGACGTGATCTCTGTGGACCTTCAGTTATAATTTCTGTCATCTTGTGATCTTCTGATCCTGAAACACTTAATCTCTTTCTCTCAGAGTCTTAGCAAAATTAGGATAAGAAGACTTGTACTCCCTACTTCACAGGGTGGTAATACACGCAAAGCCCTCTATAATTGTAAAGTGCTATACAGATGTAAGCTATTATTATAATACTTCTGTTGAAGGTCCCATTCCTACAAAGTCACCTTGGGCCTTAGCTATGCTCATAGGGGAAGAGCAAAACAGAATTTTAAATTTGATTTTCTAAAATGTCTTTAAATCATAGAGCGACCTCTCCTAGACCCATGTAAGTACCCTTACACCAGGGAAAAACAAATCAACAAATTGACTTCCTTATCTCAGTACAACATGGAACCCAAGCCAAATAATAAGTAAATATAGTTTCTTCATGGAGCAGAGCCAGACTTTCCAGACACGTTGTCTGCATGACAAAAGGCTTAGTGCCAAGACTGCCTTGAGGGTAAGTATAATTGGGTAGAATTGCATGATAGGCCAATCATCACTGGCAATATTTAAATAGAACTAAACTTGAGGCATTTTCTGCCCTGGGGTTGTGTCTTCTTCTGGCTTACTGTGATGTACTGCTGTAATGATTCTTGCCTGATAAAGAACTGTTTCCATTTCAGGAGAATGATAGTACCTAATAGTATACATGAAATCACCAAAATTAAACTAACACCAGCCCCATCACTAAAATTCCTCTTTGATTCCCCAGTAAAAACTCTGTTGGAAAGCTACTATGTATCCAACTGGGGCTACTTATCTTTATATAATGAACTTTCCATTAACTGCTATATTGAAATGTACATTTTGGGAATTATCTTCACATGGCTTATCCATGGCAAATGGTATTGCTTCGTAGCTTTTTGGTTAAAGTCTAGTACCATGTTTTTTTTTTTTAATTCTGATTTAATTTGTTTTTCATTTAACAAAGATCTAGCCCCCCATTAATAAAAAAACAGAAAACAAAATTCTTTGAGGATTGTGCATAGCCAAGCAAAACAAATTTCCACATTGTGCTATGGGTAGTTTATACCTTTTCTTATCTCATCTCTCTCACCTGCAGTGATTCTAAACTGAGGCTCTGCATTCCTGTACCAGTTACTTTTTAAGCAACTGAATTAGTTTTTTATCCATCCCTACCTGATTGGGTGGGTCAGTCTGACAGCCAGATTTTGAAGAAAGATTAAGGAAGAGAAGGCTGAACCTTAAGATGCCGTATATAAATCTATAAGATAATGCTATCCATTTCCATTCCTTGCGTGTATATTCAGTGCCTGTGGTAGTACAATCCTACCCAGTAGGCACTTCATAAATGTTTGAAGGAAATAAGGAAGGAGGGAAGAAGGGAGGGAAGGAAGGAGAGAAAGGTAGAGGGAGGGAAGAGGGAATGAGGAAGGGAAGGGTGGAAGAAGGAAGGAAGGGAGGAAAAGAGGGAAGGAGAGAAGGACATAGTTGATTGTTGGAATGAACAGAGGGACAGAAGAATGAAGTTGGTAAGTCTTTTGGCTCTTTGAGAATCTTTATAGCCTACTTTTATTTTATTTTATTTTATTTTATTTTATTTTATTTTATTTTATTTTATTTTATTTTATTTTATTTTATTTTATTGGCTTGACGTGATGTTAATTTTCCAAATATCAGGCATCTGCATTCAGCTGAGCTAAGTCATTTCTACCTTCTTTTAGCCTTGATATTTGAGAACTGACAGGGTTACCTTAGCCATTTTGCCACTCACCCATCTACCCACCCTGGGCTGCTATGTTTAGTTGCACAAGGTGGGTAGATGAATAATTAGTTCCACATTGAGTGTGTATAACCCATGGAAATAAAATCATAATTCTATCTAATGATTCCCCCTCCTCGTATATAAAACAAATGCAATAACCCACATTGTAGTAGTAGTAGTATTGTGGTAGGTTACAAATCAAATGAACATATATGTAATCAAAACTCTCTCCCACCTCCACAACTCTTTACACTCCTTCCAAAAGGCCATGCTAGTCAGCTATTGTTAATCGGAAAACTAGGTTACAATCCTTCAGGGTTTCCTTACAGAGTACAGCAGGTGCCAGACAATAAATACTGAGAAAATAGAATTCTAGAACTGAAAGTATTAGAAAACAACTAGTCCAAACCCCTTGCTTCATAGCTGAAGTGACTTGCCTAAAGTCACACAGCTTGTTAACGGCAGAGGTAGGCTTAAACATCAATCTTCTGATGCCTCCTAGCCCAGTGTACCTTCAGTACTATTTTACCTCACCTTGGTGATTCAAACGACAGATCTGATTTCTGAGATAAACTGAAATTTCAACATTTTAATCTATCAGCCCTCCAACATAATTCCTTTTCTTCAGAAATGTAGATGATTTTTTCCCCCCTTCATCCCTTGGGTTTAAAGCTACTACATAAAGTCATTTTCTTATGTCACCATAAAACTGTGTGTTAGAAATGGAAATTAAACTGCCTGCAGAACTGGGGGATTGAATTTTATAAATGGGTATATTTATTTTAAATCACAATGCTTTAAAGAATGCAGCAGAATTTCATTGCAACAGAGCTGTAACAAACAGGTCAAGGCATGTCCTCCACAGTATTGCTCTTCTTTAAACTTCATATAAGGGGTTGGGACAGGTTACATCACAAGTCTGAGTACTATATACCCAACACAGGACCTGCCCTATAATCATAAAAGCTTTTGAAGATGAACTACTCTGAACATCTCCTTAGCAATAATGGGTATCAGTTGGGCAGGCCAAATTCTTAATGCAGGCTGTCCCTTCTTTGAAAAATACATTAATTTTGTATTATGAAGAGATCACTTAATATCAAAACATTTAAGACTCATTGAATTTAAAATGATTTATTGCACTGAAGAGCTGAGTCAATTTGATTTATATTATTTGTTTACATCTGGAAACTCTTTAAAAGTTACTTTCCCCAAAAATTTTCCCATATAATATTCAAACTTATAAGTCTTGCATTCTCTACTTTTCCGTTTCTGGTCTAACCTGCTTTTTGTTTTTTGTTTTCCCTTTCGAGATTTTATCACTAGGGTCCACTGAAAAGCTGTTCAAAATGGTTTGAACAGTGGCCCTGAGTCCTGGCTCTTGCTACAGAGTACAGGTAGGATCTAGCATAACAGTACCTAGGACAATTTTGTGCACATAGCAGGCGCTTAATTAATATTTGTTGTGTTGGACTGGAGCTGTCTTGGACTCTTGTCTTGCCTCTGTTATGAAGTTATTTAAATTTTCTGTGCCTCAGCTTCCTCATCTAGCTGGGAGCAGTGATACCTGGTCTACTTCATAGAGTTATTGCAAGGTCATGCTATATTGTGTATGGGAAAGCTTAAAGAGAAAGAATGAAATATTAGACAAATTGAACATTATAATCATTATTATTGCTATTATATAATAATAATAATAATAATAATTATTATTATTATTATTATTATTATTATTAGGTAGGGGAGAAGGGATACTGCCAGTGATTGAAATCCTGGTAAGTGGAAAGTGGTAAGTGGATCTCTGAGGGCCAGGGTGAACAATCAGAACTTCTAGGCCTAGAAATTTGACCTGAGAGGTGTCCTCTTCTTCTTGTTATAATCCTCGAATGCTTATCATGAAACACATTGGTTTCCAAAGAGGTTGAGAATAGAATAAGTAGCTAAGCCTTAAGCCTGGACCTATAAATAATTCTTTATAGACTTTAATATGTTTCATTTTTTAAAAAATCTCACCTTTGGACCTACTATCTCCTCGTGATTCCTCCCCCACACAGCCACTCACCCATCTGCCACCCTGGGCTGCTATCTTTAGTTGCACAAGGTGGGTAGATGAATAATTAGTTCCACATTAAGTGTGTATAACCCACAGAAATAAAATGACAATTCTATCTAATGATTCCAGCAGAGTCCTCAAACTTATGGCCGCTAAAAAGTTGCACCAATTTCCCTGGCCCTAACCATGTTATAATGTTTACAATGGGGAGTATGTATATATGGGGATATGTGGCATACATACATACATACATACATATACACACATATCCATACATACAATATATACATATACATATACACACATGAAACATATACACATATTGGTACATGGTTTATCTTCTCCAATAGAATGCTAGATTAGTGAGGGCAGGACTATGCTATTTTTTTGTCCAAGTACATACAAATATGTATGATATATAATATTTTATGTTATATATATGCACATATACACATAAATATACATGATGCATATCTTAAGAATGCTTTAAAGGTTATGAATCTGTTTTCTTAACAATTCAATTTAGCAAGCATTTTTAAGATACATATGATGTATAAGTCACTATCCTAGGTTCTGGGGCTATAAAGACAAAAATGGAACATTCCCTGCCCTCATAGAGCTTACTTTCTTTTGCAGGAGACACATGTGCTCAAGTAAGTAAATACAAAGGAATACAAGACAGTTTTAGGAGGGAAAGAGTGTTAAAAACTGGAAGCATCAGGGAAGGACTTATGTAAAAGGTGGCTATGCTTAATAAATGCTTATTTACCATCAAAGCTGAGACTTGAATATATGTCTTGATTACTTTATTTCTAACACACTTCCTACTATATCATATCACCTCAGAATTTTATAATACATTATAATATGTTTATCTATAGAACACTGAAGATGGAACGTGCTAGAATATTCAATTCTATCATTATTGGTCCATTATTGTTACTGTAAATGCCATTGACATAATTTACAATCCAGGGTAACATAAATGTTTTTGCAGTTTTCCTTGTTCAATCCAATCACCTCTAAAGGGCAGTGCCCTAGGGGTGTGCTTTGTTGTTCTTGGTCAGTCATTTTTCAGTCATGTCTGACTTTTCATATCCCTTTTCTTAGCAAAGATATTGGAGTGGTTTGCCATTTTCTTCTCCATAGGAGTGGGCTACTGGACCTCTTCTTGAAAGCACTTGTGAATGGATTTACATGGACTTATTTATGCATAGAAGTAACTTATTCACATAATCTCAGGCTTCAAAATCATAATAACTTTGTTGGAATTCAGGTTATCAGCTCTAACCATGTTACTTCTGCAGGGACTCGATGGCCCCAAGTAGTCTGGGTTTTAATTTACCATTTATCATCCAGGCAGAGCATTGAAAAATATAACTGAAAAGGGCTGCAGAAAAAGCAGCCAAAATGATTAGGGGAAAAGGCAAAACTTGCATATGAGTCTACATTCTTATTATTATATTGGTGACCTCTCAGACCCCATCTAGATCTCTATGATTATGTATGCTAAAAGAAAAAAAAAAGGTTTGCTCTCTCTCTCAAATAGTTTCTTTGTATGTATTTTTCTGTAGTCTTTTAAAGTTATATTTTAGATGCTCTATTATCTATGTATGCGTGTATATATATTTATTTATGTATGTATGTGTGTATGTGCATAGTTAGAGAAATGGATAGGCAGATAGACAAATCAGTAGACAGACCGTAGGATGGCACAGTGTAACATGGCCTTGAAATTATTATCATCTGGGTTTAAGTCTTGCCTAACACATACAGGCTATGAAACAATGGACAAGTCATGTATCCTTTCAATGACCCTAGTCCAGGGCTTCTTAATCTTTTTTCTGTCATGGACCCTTTTGGTAGTTTAGTGAAATCTATGGACTCTTTCTCAGGAAAAAAATACATTTTACAATTTATTTTTTAAGGGATATGATAAATTTCACTTAAAGGTTAGTAAGATTTTTTTTCTCTTATGCAATTTCAGGGATACTCTGTAATCTATTGATGGGCCCTTTCCATAGAACTCAGGTTAAAAAATCTTGCCATGCACAATTCTCTAAGACCATAAGTTGCCAAACATTTGCCTATCTACATTGGTAGTAGGAGTTTCCTCAAAGAAACCAATAAAGTTGGGTTCAGACTAAAAATATATACACAAAAGGATAGAGACATAAAAGGCAGTATATCAAAGTGGACAGAGTGGAATTAGGAAGATTTAGTGTCACATATGCCTCTGACACTTTCTAACTGTGAGACCTGGGCAGGTCATCAACTCTACATGCTTCAAGCAACTGCCTAGGACTTTTCTCTTAAATCATAGAGAGATTTAAATCTGTTGTAATGGAGGGAATTACCAAACTCAGAGATTCCCAAGGTGACAAAATCACTAGTGTTTGGGGGCAATTTACGAAGTTATGGCAGATTATTAGCAAGTCAGGAAAGGCAAATGCTGAAACATGATATGATCAAGACCTAAGGATTCCAAGTTCAGCATCATTTCCACCATTTTTATTGTCTTCATTGTGGAAAGGAGGGAAATAATGGATATGGACAGAGTAATATGAGGCCTATTAAACAAATATGAAAATATTAGAACAAAGGATTTTCCCTTGAAGTTTGAAGGACTTCTTTTTTATGTCACAGATTTACAGAGTTTCAGAATTTATAAGTGAAGAGGCTCTCATGTCATCTAATCAAATTCTATTCTTTTACAGATGGGGAAACTAAGGCACAGAAAGACATATATACACATACAGAATTGTAAATGGAAGTGTTATTACTTGAATCCAGGGATGCTGATTACAATTTCAAGGGCTCTTGAAGGTCAGACTTTAAGGAACTTCAAACACTTGTAATACATTACAGAACCAGAAAGTTGAAGGAAGACCTCAATGTTCCTTCTGAGCTGCAAAACAGGATCATAGAATATTAAGGCTAAAAATCACCTAGTCTAACTCATTCATTTTAGAGATAAAGATACTGAGGCTAAGTGACCACCCATATGTGTGTATATATATATATATATATATATATATATATATATATATATATATATATATATATGTGTGTATATATATATATATGTGTGTATATATATATATATGTGTGTATATATATATATATGTGTGTATATATATATATATATATATATGTGTGTGTATATATATATATATATATATATATATATATAATGAGTTAACAGCAGATATAGAACTAGAACCAAAGTTTTCTGATTTCCAGTTTTGTGTTCTTTTCAAAACTAACAAAAAATCCATACATTAAAGCTTAAGCATTTTTTTTCCTATAGAAGAGGCTCTAAATCAGAGCCTTCACACACAATTCCAAATAGAAGGACCCTACTACTCCTCTACTGTTCTGCTAGCGGGTCTGACCACATGTCAATAGGCAACAACAATTTCACAAAACTTAAGTGAACACTACATTTATTAGAAGAGGAATGAATGTGTATGTGGAGTCCGAAGAGTTTACAAGCCATACAAAAGTTTGCATATTTATAACAGTACAACAAAGAAGTAGGAGGAAACAAAAAATTTCTACCTAAAGGGACACGGCACGAGGGGGAAAAGGTGCGGTAATGGTGGGAAAAGTATAAAAACCCTCCTGAAAGAGAGGAGCAAGATGATGGCAAAAGCAGCATTGTTTTCCCTTGGGAACTGCTAAGACCATGAAGATACGATGGTCTGCTTATCTACAGGAGTCCACACAGCAGTTTCTCAGCCCAGTGCAGACTGACTGGTGCCTGTCACAATGGGTCCAATATGGGATGCAAACAACAAATTATGTCAGCTTGGAAGGCTGCATCCTTGATACATTCAGGGCCTCCTGCATATTCTGTGCCTAGTGTTTCTGGAAAATATGGCAACTCAAGAAGACAAGTTCAGGGGACTCCTTAATGTTCCTTAACACATATCACCTCTCATTCTCTCTTCTCATTAATCTCCAATGGTTTCCCATTATTGTTAGGAGCAAATATCAAGAGGGGATTTTTGATATTTAAAACTCCACACAATGTCTCCTCTCTATTTTCTAATCTTTTTGTACTTCACTCTCCTCCATGAATTCTAAGATCCAGCTCTACTGGCCTACTTGTTCCTCACATGTGATACTCTATCTCTAGACTCTGTGTCTTTGAGCAGATTGTCCTCCATGCCTGGAATGCTCTTCCTCCTCACCTCCATCTCTTAGCTTCCCTGGATTCCCAAAAGTCTCAGCTCAAACTCCAATTTTTTTGCAAGAGGGCTTTCCCACCTCTTATTCTCTCTACTCTCCCACAGTGCCTTCCCTCATAGATTTACTCTGTATATGTCTTTATGTAGCTAGTTATTTACATGTTGAGTCCCCCATTAGCATGTGAGCTCCTTAAGGGCAGGGACCCTGGCTTTGCCTTTCTGCTTAGCACATTGCCTGGTACATAGTAAACATTTAGTAAATGCTCATTGACTAACTGGAGCAAGGCATTTTATTTCTGTTGGTCTGCTTCCTCATCTGTCTCACGGGGTTTTTGTGAGAAAATCCCATTGTCAATCATAAAAATGCTACCAAAATGTGTTATTATTGTTCTTGCTGTTATTACTATCATGCTCATTTCCCAGTTCACAACACATTAGAATCAGCAATAAAGAAAGAAGAGGAGCTACTAGCGATAGGAATACAAATAACAAGGAATAATCCCTGACACCTTGATAGAAATGGAAAAAATTAGCAAAGAAAAACCAGGAGACGAAGACATGTTTAAAGCTAAGCAGTTTAAGGACCTTTGGTGTTGGGTAAACCATTCTTCACATCTCAGTCATCTCTAACGTTACAACATTAAAACAGCATGTTGCAATTCAATGTTTGATGCCTAGAATTTTAACTGAGTCATTAAGAAAAAGTTGAAATTGTGTTCAGTGTATTGTAGATGGAGGCAGCAGAGCATGAGATGTTTTACAATGTTTTCTAAAAGTTAAAAAAATAGTTTTAAAACATGAAGAAATTTCAGTGCCTCAAGGGGAGAATTTCAGACATGGGGAAAATGCACTTATATGAAACAGCTCATGGCACGATAATAATTACAAAGCAAGTGGTAAAGAAATGAAACATTTAGCTAGAATCATAGAATCTCAGTGGGAAAGAAACCATGTCTGAACAAGAAGATCCTCTACAAAATACCCCAAAGTTGGTCGCTCAGCTATTGTTTGGAATCCTCCCTGTGATGGGGAACCTATGACTTTTCATAATAGCCTATTCTATCTTTGGATAGCTCTAATTTGCAAGGAATGTTTTTTTCCTGATATTGAGCCTAAATTTAGCTTTTTGCAACTTCTGTCTTATGCTTCTGCTAGTTCTTCCTTCTGAGGCCAAGCAGAAAGAAGGTAATCCTATCCTTAAGGTGAAAGCCCTATAAACATATAGAGAAAATGATCATATCTCCCCTAAATGCTCTCTTATCCAGACTAAGAACTGCTAGTTCCTTTCAACAGATACTTTTATAGCATGGCATCCAGAACTCTCCCAATCCTGGTCACAAAGAAATTTCAAAGAATGAAGACACTATTTAAAAATAAGTGAATGGCTGATAGACCTAAACTGCAATGAATCACAGGGGGAAGATAGACATATTTAATATATATCCTAAGGCACTTGAGGCAGCCATCTTGGAGGCAGCAATGTCTTTTACAAAACCTCTCTGTTGTAATTATCCAAAATAAACTGGACATTCCATTGGT